TGATAGGAGTGTCTTTTGTTCTACTGAAGAAACTCTTCGTGGGCTCCTGGATAGGGGTTCATCATCAGAAAGATCAAGTATGACTGGAAGACTTGAACTTTCAGCCCCACACCCTATACTCCAAGGAGGGGAGACGAGCTAGACACTGAGTTAATAATCGATCACTCCTATGTGATGAAGCCTCCACAGAAATGCCTAAAGTAGAGTTCAGAGAGCTTCCAGGTTGCTGAACACATCAAGATGCTGGTAGGGTGGCCCATCCAAAGAGGGCATGGTAGCACTGTACTCCTTCCCCCATATGTTGCCCTATGCATCTCTTTCATCTGGTTGTCCCCGAGTTATATCCTTTTATTATAAACCAGTAACCTAGTAGTTTTCCTGAGTTCTGTGAGCCCTTCCAGCAAGTTATCAAATCTGAAGAGGGGGTCATGAGAACCCCCAATACAGAGCCAATCAGTCAGAAGTACAGGTAACAACCTGAACTGTACCTGGTATCTGAGGTGGAGGTATCTTGTAGGACTTGAGCCCTGAACTTGTGGGATCTGATGCTAACTCAAGGTAGAGTATGTCAAAATTAAGTTGAATTGTAGGACACCCAGTCAGCGTCTACTGGAAAACTGAATTGTGGGGGAAATCCCCACACAGCTAGTGTCAGAGTTCATGATATGAGACCACTGGTAGAGTGTTGAGAGGAGAAAAGAATTCTTTCCCTTTTACTCCCCCAACTAGATTTTTAAATCAAAACATCTTTTAACTCCAGTACTTGGAATGACTTCTGGCTTAGGGTAGTTAAGGTAACTCAATAAACTGCTGAATGAATACATTTTCTCACATACATGATACTCTAATTGATAGCCAGGTTCCACAAACACTTCTTTAACAGCTAATATGGATGAAACAAGCAGCATTTCAGCACCTTAAAGGTAAAAGAGTGGGCCTTAGTTGTGTATCTCATATTAATATATATTTACTTAATTAACACTACAAGAGATAAATCTGTTTAAACAGCTTTTGTAACTTAGTTTGAAAATTTAAGAGACATAATTTTGTATGTAAAAATGTGTTCTTGATTACTCAAATTCTAACCTGGAAGTCAAAATGCCATTGTCAAATTACACGAACTCAAATACTATTATTATCAAGACTCCTACATTTACAGTAAATTAAAAGAAACCTAGTTCCTAATTCTGGCATTCAGGACTTCTACAATTAAACCCCAATTTGCCTTATATGCCTTTCCCCTTCTTCATGCATGCTATCCTCCTGCCAGAATGTACTCTTCCAGTCTCCAGGGTCTACAGTTACCTCCCTTTCTGTCTTAGATTTCATTGTCTGCTGCATTAGAAAATCCCTCCACCCAGTTCCACAAAAATCAAATCTAACTTATCCTTTGTATAGCATTCAAGTGCCATCTCCTAATCCTTTCACACTTCCCCAAGGTAATCTACCCATCCTCTCAAGTCCTATAGGACTTTATCTAGACCTCTTTGACACCATTTATAACTTTATTTCAAGAGTATGTAGTTATATATCTGTTTTTCCTTCCTCTATGTAACAATAAGGGAAGATTCTATATATAATTCAACATTTTCCAAAGTGTGTTCCATGGAATTCACAAAAGTAATAAGCACTACAAAATAAAAGTATCATGGTCAAAAAAGTTGGGAAAATGAACTTCTCAGAATTTTTAACATACTAAGTAAGGCATATTGAAAAACTCTAAAGAAACAAAGTATGCCTATTTCCAAAACCTACTTGGCCTCTGAACCATACTGAATTTTTTTGCAGCACATAGCATAGAATTAGTATTTCTATGGCATGCAGACTCACTAATCTTGGCACCTTAATCTTGAACTCTATAGGTACTCAGCAAATATTTGTTGAATAAATGGGTAATTGACTCTAGTTAACAAAGAACTCTCCCATTAAGGTAACTTGCCCAGAAAGAAGTGAAGATTCCAAAAGAATAATAAGAGAAAAAAAAAAAAAGGAAGTGAGAAGGGAGTACCATGTCCTCAGTAGTGCAATAAGAAAAAAGAATATTTGCAACAACAGAAAAAGAATTTAATACCCCAGCCACTTTTTATATGTGGAGGATTAATTAATCCAAACCACATAGGAATTCCTGTTTAGACTGTCCATCCCAAGGTGATCATTTAGAAACACTGCACATAGATTCTTTCAGAAAGATTTGCCCATGAGGGCTGACACTAAGAAAATATTCTGGTGAATTTCCAGGATACTCATTATTAAAATAACTGAACAATATTTTACTAATCATTTCTGTAAACTGAGAAAATATCCCATAGTTGATTTTGTTATACTAAGGTGTTTATGTTTAAAAACAAAAAAGGGCAGTCTCATAGGACCAACAAGATTTTAAAAGTAGAGTTAACCAATGAGATTTCATGAATTCAAAGCATAATTTTATATTGATTTGACCTCTTTCAATGTGGAAAAATGAAAGCACAATTCAACTTAACAGTGCATTAAAACCAGGATGCATAAAAACAAAATATCCTTGACTATGTTCTGACCTCTGCTTCCCACAGTTCTCCAGCTGTCCAACTGTGACTAAGAAAGGGAAGCAAGGAAAAAAAAGACACTCCCTGACTTGTCCTTCAACCTAGATCCTATCCAAGCAGCAACAGGAAACAGCAGCACTGACTGAGATTTGTTCTTGTTTTTTTTTTAATCTCCCTCCTTCCCCTAGAGCAAAGAGACAAACCTTTCACTTAGGTATGAAAACTTTTTCAAGAGAAGAGCCCATTGTAGGGCTGAAAAGGTAAATACATTTCTTACTCATACAATTATTTAACTGTAACTATTAATGTAATAATGCTTTTCATATTGATGGAACAAGTTACATATATATGGTCAGGAAAAAGAAAGTCACATGAGTTAAGATCCGTAAGAATGTTTAAAATTGCCCTATGAACCCTCTGACCAAAGAACTAGGCTGTCTCTATCAGCAGCAATTTTCAACCACTTTCAGCTCATGGCACACAGAAACTAATTACTAAAACTCTGCAACACACCAAAAAACCATTTTTTGCTGATGTGACAAAAAATAGGTATAATTTTGATTCATTCACAGTGGATGGTTATTGTTGTGATGGCGTTGTCATTTGTTTTTATTTGACAATCTGAGAGAAAAGAGGTAAGTGCCCCTGACTAAATAGTCAGATACTGCAGGTTTTAAAAATTCTTAGAGCCCATCGGTTGAAAATCGCTGCTGTATCAGTAAGCGAATATTACCAGCTATCACATAACTGGAGTCACTGATTAAGTTGAAGCCTAATTTGGTTAACTACTTTACTAAATGGTGAGACCTTAAAAAGCGAAATGTATCCCTCCTCCCAGAGGGGAGCAGAAATCAAATACACGTTCAAAAAAGTTATGTGGACTCATGTGATCAAACATTTAAAGAAAAAAAGACATGATACTGTCTGAAACACAATTGGGAATGACACACAGTATTAATTAACTCAAAGATCAATGACTTATGAACTGTATGATAAAGTAAGCTTTCTATTAAAAGCTAGCTAGCCAAATAGTTCATTAGGTAAATTAAAGATCTCAGCTTCAAAAACAGTATTCTACCTTTTTAAGATGTAAAATAATAAATAAATAAGAGAAGGAACTACAGAACTACTTTCGAGTCTTGCCCATCAACACACAGTAAAAGCTTTTAGCAAAAACGATGTCTCCCTGCTCCTGCGTCAATCAATAAACAGATGGAATCAGGGAAGTCACTGTACTCAACACTTAAATATGAGGAAATGTAATTAGTATTTCCAAGTTCTTTCTTGTACCTATAAACCTCTCACTCACAAATCACTATTTTATTACAAACTGTTATAACAATGGCATGATATTCCTCTCAACAAAAGCAGTATCTATCCAAAAGCTGACAGAAACCCGAAATACAGTAACAGTAACATGAAAAATTCCCAGTTGTCATACAAACTGCGCAATTTACATTTTAAGAAAAAGAAAAAAGAAAAAGAAAAGAAATAGCTGTTGAATCCAAAGCAGAAAAAGGATCCAATTTTCACTTTCGGAGAAATTACTGTCAACTGCGACCTTCTCAATTACTACTTACTTTGCTACTCAACATGAAACACAAGCACACACAGAAAGGGTCTTCCTTTTTCTTCATATCTCGTTTCCATTTCTTTCACAAAAGCAGATGGTTTCTTTATCCCTTTCATTGTTTTGTGGTCCAATGAGAATTTCCCTATTCTATTATCTCCAACATCACAGCTCTTCACACTGGATTTCACTAAATTAAATTTTAAGTTGTAGAGACCGAGAACCCTCAAGGACACCCACCAGAATGCTCACTGTCTCACGCGTTACGGACCCCTCGCTGCCAGTTAGGTGGTTTTATAACACACAGCAGCTCCCTCAGACCCGCACGCAAACGTTAATCTTAGTTTTGCGTCCACTGAGTCTGAAGGGCTTAGGCCTTTATCGTCCAAAAAAAATACTTCGGCCTCTTCCAACGTAAGGGTAAACTGACAAGAGGTCAGTGCCACTTCCACTTACTAACGTTATGATTACAAACAACGGGAAGCCCCCAGTCGTCCAGGTCTCAGGGGGCACCCTGAGAAAACTGCGCGAGGATCCAGGCGACGAGACGGGGCTCGCCCAACCTGGGGCTCCTGCCTCTTCTTTCCGAGCCCCAGTCAGCGCTTCCCACCACTCATCCCAAGTACATCTTCCAACGCCCCAACTCCTGGGCTCGCTCCTTCCCTCCTCCTTCACGACTCTGGCTCCCACCCCCGCTAGCCTCCCAACCCCGGTCCCCGCGACACCCCTCCCCCATTTCACGCTCCACCCGCGCTGACACCAGAGCCACCGCCCCACCCCTCCGTTTTCGCTCCTTTCTTCCTAGGGCTGCTCCCGGGCGGCGGGTGAACAACCGCTCTTCAGCCCGCCCACCTCGCTACCTGCACCCTGGGCCTGCCACTCCCTGCAGGGCCGCCAGGACCCACCTCGAAGAGCTCGGCCGTCGTAGCCATCCCGGCCGGCTGAGAGGCTCGCCTCGCGCTGGACGCCGTCTCCTCTTCACATGCTGCGCCTCAGCGGCGCGGCGCACAGGTCCCTGCTCAGCTCGCCAGCTCCGGCTCCAGGACGCCGCGGGATCCCCGACTTCCCACCGAGCCCAGGCGGGGCTGGAGAGCGGCCATAAAGCGGAGCCTCAGACGCCCGTCAGCTGCCTCCCGGCGCCGCCCGCGCTGCTCCCATTGTCACCGCCTCATACGCCGGAAGTGGAGCTGCGCGCGCCGGCTCGGCAGTCGGGAGGGGCAGATGGGGGAAGCCGACAATGGGCAAGCTGCAGAGGCTCGTTGTTTGGGCGCGTGAGGAAGCATGGCCCTTGCGGGCCACCATCCCGGAAGTGGAATTTAGAGGAAGCAACTATTAGGTTGCTGGGGTATCTTAAGTTCCCGAGATGCTAGGTAAGGCTTCACAGAGCATTTTGTGGTTTGTGTTGGCCAGAACCGACTGAGTGTTTTTTTTACTTCATTTGAAAGAATTGGCTTCTCTGCTGAGCCCGACCTGTTTGTGGTGGGGCAGAAGGTGGTTCGGCTAAATGAGTCCATCTGAGAAAGCCCTTCTGCTCTCTTCCTCCGTGGCGGCCTTAGGAGTGAACTGATGCTTTAGCGGCTTATCATGGCCCAGCGAGCAGTGTGGCTCATAAGCCACGAACCGGGAAATCCACTTTGTGGCACCGTGAGATTCTCCAGGTAAATGCAAGTCTGAATCCTCAGGGGCGATCAATTGGAGGAATGGATCCTGTAGCATAGTTTTGTGATGCAGTGTATCCCTGGTAGGCGAGTCACTTAATCTCTGTTTCATCTGTTAAATGAGTGTTTTAGTAATACTGCCTGGTAGTGTTGTGAGAATTAAATGAGTTAATGCCTGGCACATATTCAGTATTATGTTTTCTAATACAGTGTTATTTAGTAACGTTATATCTTAAAATTTATTCCAGCTGCTTGGCATTGATTTGGAGATAATGAAGGAAACTTACTGAGCACTACACGTTTTAAAATTTTTCTTTCATTCATAAGAATCAGTCAATGGCATTTTAATTCATTCTTCTGTAAAATCCTTGTTGAGCAAGATCAGACTCTTATTTTCATTTTACCATGATTCTTGTTCATCCCTAGGAATTTTTAGATATTTATTTAGATAGGAATTTTAACGTTCCTGATTGTTGAATAAAATTGAAAAAGTACAAAAATTAAATTGTATTCACTTTCTCTTAGATTGTGTAAGCTGATCTGGTTTCATTTTTAGAATTTGCCACATTTTATCAAAATAGCTCTGAAGAGTATTATACAATGACTCTTCCTAAAATGTGGGTCCAATTGAGTAATTTGTTTCACCTTTTATTCTCAGCGGCTTTAACAGTTAGGTCTTGCCAACAAATTAATTCTTCCCTGAGGAAAGCTCCAGAGTGAAGTAGTGTAGCTCTGAACTGAGATAGAGGCAGATAAAGATGAGTGTAATTTTAAATGAAAAGTGGTTGGTAATGTGGACATGAAAAATTCCCGCTTTGTAACCTAAACAATTTGCGTTAGTAAGGGCATCAGAGTTGGCATTTAACATTTTCCCTCAGGGTACCTGACTTAACATTTGTTATTGTACGTCAAGTAAGGGGGTTAATAATATTCTTTGATACGGTTCATTAGCCTCATTGGTCTATCTAAGGTACTCCTCCTTTTACTTATATATTCCCTTGGGTATCTTTATTTCTGCTATTCTCCTGCCTCATAGGTAACTTGTATCTTTTTTTGCTCCCTTGTATTCACGTCTGTGTATACATTTTTCAAATTACATAATTGTTCTAGAAACCTCATTCCTTTTCTTACATTTTTCAGATTTCTCAGCATTATTTTTAAAAACTTTCATGTTATTTTGTATTCATCTAGAGCAGCACTGTTCAAAGAATTTTCTGTAGTGGCAGACATGGGAAATGTTCTAAATCTATGCTGTCTTATCATTGTAGCCACCAACCACATGCAGTTTCTGCAATGTGGCTATTTTAACTGAGAAACTCAATTTTGTTTAAGTTTAAAAAGTTCCATATGGCTAGTGGCTACTATACTGGAGAGTGCTGATCTAGGTCATTACTTCTCCCTGCTCTCTAGTACTTAATGATTTCAGCCTCCACACTTTACCTATCCTCTTCCCCAGTGATATACCTCAGGGTGCCTCCAACTCTGACATCAAAACAGTGTTGCAGTAGATATCCTCAAAAAGTCCATGGGCCATATCTATGCTGATTTTGACTAAATATTGCCAATAATTGGCTCTTCATAATACTTCCTCCAGTCTACACTCTCATCAGCAGAGAGCGAGGGTTCCTGTATCTCCTTTCTTTCCTAATACTCAGTTTTTGCCAGTATAGTATTTTATTTTCATATAATTTTCTCTGTGTAGCAATGATTGTTAGCCCTTTGGGTTTCCTCTTCTGTGAATTGCCTATACATATTCTTTGTTCATTTTTTCTTTCAGATTTGCTTGGCGGGGAGGGTTCTGTTAATGTGCAGGAGTTTATCGTGTATTCTTAATATTAGTCCTATGGGGTTTTTTTTTTAGCTATTACAGATATTTTATCATTGCCAATTAACTTGATGTTGCCTTTGATTAAACAGAAATCACTAAGTTTATTGCAAGCAAAGTAGTTAGTGCTTTGGGAGATTTGTTGAAGTTTTTCCCTACCTTTGTTTCCAAGGATATCTTCCTAGTTTTCTTAACTGTATTATTGTATCTGTTATATTTAGGCCTTTAATCTATTTGTAGTCCATCTTTGGATATATTGTTAATATAGGAGCCCCATTTTGTTTTTCTCTATACTCTATACAGTGGGCCAGTTTTCCCATATCACCTTCCAAACAATACATATTTTTTTCACAGATTTATGGAGCCATTAGTATTTTATTATGTTTCCCATATAAACATTGGTCTGTCTTGGTTCTATTACTTTGTCTGTTATTGTACCAATACCATATCTGTGGCTTTGTAACTTATCGCAATATCCCATAGTGGTCTGATTTTTCCTGCTTACAAAAATAAGCTCCTTAAAGAAGTCATGCTTGTTTTCAAAATTTTTTCTCCCTGTGCTCAGAATATTTCAGAAGAAAAAGTTAGGTATGTTTGGATAGCACTTCAGCATCTCCATGGAGGCAGCAAGCTGGGTTCAAATAATTCACTTATTGCTTATTAATTCTGTATTGTTTATTTTTTAAAAGATATATTTATTTTTAGAGAGGGGAAGGGAGGGAGAAAAGAGAAACATCAATGTGTGGTTGCCTCTGGAGCACCCCCTGCTAGGATCCTTGCCTGCAACCCAGACATGTGCCCTGACTGGGAATCAAAATGGGGACCCCTTGATTCCCAGGCCGGCGCTCAATCTACTGAGCCACACCAGCCAGGGCTAATTTGATATTGCTGAATGAACTAGTTAAGTTTTACTGTTTTCAGTTTTCTGACCTCCTGGGGCTGGTGATGGGGCTAAACAGATATGCACTGGCATGTTATCCATATATATATATATATGTATATATATATATGCCAAAGGACAATGGCCATCACTTAAGATTTTAAAAAAGCAAATGATCTTTCCTATCTAACTACTTCCTCTACACCACCACCCCCGGCCTCACAAAAGAAAAAAAAAAAAAAGCTTGGTCTAGATTCTATTTTAGAGGTTTGCTGCCCAGATAGATCGTAGTATCAGGTTAAGTTTGACTGAGGTTTTCTGTACCTCGTAATCTCATAGTTGTGGGGCCATTTAAGGTGTGAGTCCTATTTTAGAAAAGGCCTTGAATAAATCTAAAATGACAGGTTGAGTCATCCAACAAAAATATTTATTGATTATATATTGTAGCATTGTAAAAGGTCCCAGATTAACTACTTATGTTTACATTCAGTCATGACATTCTTGCATTTAAGACAAAATTTAATTATTCTTTAGGTAACTAGAGGATAAGACACTGTACTAGAGTTTAGTCCAAAGTTCTCAATAATTCTTACTTGACCCAGAAAAAGAAATGGCATTTACCTGCTGCTCCGTTATTGGAATGCTAACAGATTCTTTCCCCTTCTCAATCAAAAAAATGCATCAGAATGTATATGCATGAGGTTTTACTAATATATTGATAACTTTGAATACATTCTTATTTTCTTTTAAAGAATATTAGTAAACATCAATGTTTTATTAGTAGGATTAGTGAAAAAAATTATTTTGGCCAGATGTGTTCTTGATCCTTGATGAGAATTTCTGGTATGTTCTTTAGCCATCCCTTTATTTTACAAATAAGAAAAAAGACTTGGGGAAGTTAGAGGACTTACAGAGAAGTTAATAGCCAGTAGATGACCTTGTTCTGGACTGTGGAGTAGAGAGGTAAGGATAGTAGATAGGGAAAGCACATATTTTTTGGACTAAGAAAACCTGATCCAACATTTGTGTAAATGAACAAAAGTACCTTTTATTCTGATTCCCCACAGAAAGCAGTGAAATGGTAACTTGCATTTACCCTAGAACATGCAAATCATAAAAAATTATTCAGACTGTAGTCTTTTTATTACCTCATACTATCTTCCAGGGCCAGAGAGGTAAGCCATTATTACTGAAATGCTCATATTTATGTAGGGGTTGGCAAGAAAACTCAGGGTACCTGTTGTTCACTATAGGTTGAGTAGGATAAAACATTCCTTTTATAATTATATCATTTCAACTAGTGAATTCAAAATTGTAGAGGGTTAAATTGAACCACTTCTTTTGATCCTACTCTGCTAATATGGAATGGGGGAGAAAAGTTCTTATAGATGCCTAAAATGTGTCCAGGTATACAATCCTTGCCTGCCAAGTGGGAATCTGAATTGCCAAGAGATTAGGATTTCAAATTAGAACCATCTATTCTACCTATTTTAAAAAATTAACTAAATTGAATTATTTTTAGAAATAGATAATGATACTTTATCATTTCAGATAGTATACCATGTATACAACAGTTAGTTACTATAGTCAGAAGTTAACATGTAGTATTTTTTGGCTGTGGATTGTGTGGATGTGTAGGTTTTTGTTTGTTATTGTGTATTTTGTTATTACTGTTTGCCCTCAGTTTTGAGTTCTTTATTTTAGATTCTTTCCTTTTTATTTTATTTAGAAGAATCATTTATAATGCTTTTTTGTTTCCATACTGTAGACGGTATCCAACTGTTGAAAAACGAGCCAGAGTCTTCAATGGAGCCAGTTATGTGCCTGTTCCTGAAGATGGTCCCTTTCTTAAATCACTTCTCTTCGAACTTAGACTATTAGATGAAGATAAGGACTTCGTGGAGAGTCGTGATAGCTGTTCTCACATCAATAAAACATCCGTTTATGGACTTAAAGTAGGAGGTGAAGAACTCTGGCCAGTTGTTGCTTTTCTGAAGAATGGCATAGTATATGCTTGTGTTCCACTAGTTGAACAAACTTTGTCCCCTCGTCCACCATTAATTAGTATTAGTGCAATTTCACAAGGCTTTGAACTTCTTTTTGGGGTACAGGATTTTCTTTACTCAAGTCAAAAAAATGACACTGATCTAAATACAAAACTGAGCCAATTGCCTGACTTGCTTCTACAGGCTTGCCCATTTGGAACTGTGTTAGATGCCAACTTACAGAATTCATTGGATAGTATTAATTTTGCTTCTGTGTCTCATCCACAAAAACAACCTGCCTGGAAACCTGGAACATACAAAGGAAAACCACAAGTTTCTATTTCTATCACTGAAAAGGTGAAATCTATGCAATATGATAAACAGGATATAGCAGATACATGGCAAGTAATTGGATCTGTCACCTGCAAGGTGAGATTGTTTTTTGATACTTGGTTTATCATATTATTTAACATCTATGAAGAAAATAAAATTTGCTAACTTTAGTGTGCATTGTTATTATCACATTGTTGACTTTTATCATAAATAGCAGTCATTAGATGTTAGATTCATGTCAAATTTAATAAAGTTACCTTTTGCATTCTAATTAACTATTAGTTACATAGTGCTATGTAATGAATTGCCCCATTGTCCCAACAAAGACCATTTATTATCCTTATAATTTCTGTGGGTCAGGATTTCAGGAACAGCTTACCTGGAACTTCTAGTGTAGAGTCTCTCATGAGATCAGTCAATATTTCAACTGGAGCAATGTCACCTAAAGGTTTGATTGTGGCTCCAAGATAGACTTGCAGGGTGGCTCATTCAGATGACTAGTTAATGGTGGGAGGCCCTAGTTCCTTTACATGTGGACTTCTCAACAAGCTGCTTAAGAAAGTCCTCACAACTTGGTGACTAGTTTCCTATAGATCAAATGATTAGACAAAAGACAGACATAGGGCACAGATAGAAGCAATTTTTTATTACCAAGACTGAGATGTCAGAGAGCATCACTTCCACTGTTTTCTGTTTGTTAGAAGCAGGTCACTAAGTCTGGTCCACATTCAATGGGGCTGGAATTAGGCTCCGCCTTTCAAAAAGAGTCAAATAACTTGTGAAAGTATTTTAAAACCTCCATATCTATTTTCCATTTTCTCTAGCAGGGGTGAAATTGACAAACCTTTGACTTAATATCTAAAACCATTTTGAAGGGCTCTTGTTTTATTTAAACAAGTCAATTAGTTAATATAGGGTTCTCTGTTAGAAAATAGGAAAAGAATAAAAATAGCAATACGGTTAGCAGTGATCAGTACCATGTTGAATAATGATCCAAGATAAAAACCCTCCAAGTACAATTTTTACAAGTGCATGTTAATATTCTCAGATGTCTTTATTGTTCTGATACCTTTCTTTATTCTCTGTATTATGAATATAAACTTTTTATATATCAAGCTTAATATTGAGTGGCTATGTACAACTTCTATAGATAAAAGTAGATTTCAGGAACAAAGAAGTAGAGCAGTCCTGGCAGACAAATTGGATCTTCCTTTTTCCCTTTTAACCTTAAAGTGATTTAAAAGTTAGTGTTTTAAACTCAGTTCCATCATGATCAAAGATATATAGCAGTTACTATGTTCACTAGAAATAAGCATTGTGGAGAACTCCAAAATTGAAGTGACCATGGATCTGTAAGCCCTAAAACATTTTAATACTTTTTGCTTATAAGTTCCGTGAGATAAAAGAATGAAAATTCATCATTTCTGTTTTTTTTCATTCTGTGACAATAGGGAATATGTTATATGTCATTTACTATGAATTAGTGTCATGATGTTTAAATGTCTTAGTTCATTAATAAGCTGACCCTAGTTTATTGTGTCTGGGAATTTTGAATTGATTCCTATTCCTTGTCTGATACAAATTATCATGGTAGAAGACTTTCTCCTTTCAAAAACTTTATTCTAAAAATAAAAAAAGTAGGGGCGTACCTTAACACACACACACACACACTAAATGTTTCCTTAAACTTATATGTAGATAATGTGTCTGTTTGCCAAACATCTTTTAAGTTCTTCAGGAACTTAGTATTTAAAGGAGTTTTATTGTGAAGCCTGTTATAAATAGAATTATCTTCATTTTATCTTAGGCCTGGTAATCAGCCAAAAGCCAATGGACTGAAGTTCTAGTTCCTACTCCACCTCTCATTCTCTATGTGCCTTGGGAAAATTCATAACTTCTAAAAATCTTTTCTGATTTTTAAAATCAGATAAGTTCCTAGGTCCCCTTCTCTTTTCATAATTCCTAGTTAAAAGTCCACATTTACATATGCCAGAGTGGTTTAAAGGGTAGTATATAGATTTCTTCTAGAATAGATGTTCTCATTCTATAGTAAATGACTATATGATGATCTGGTATTTTAAATCCCTAGGAAGTAGATAATTTGTGGTTTCCGTAATGGCTGTAATTTTCTGATCCCTGTAAGAATGTTAGAAGCTAACTTATTAAGTATAAACTGAATATTTTAAAAAATAGTATTTACTATTAATATTTGCTTATTTTAGTATCTTCATAAATATCTGTCCAAAAACAACTTTGTTCTTGCTAGTTCACATGTAGAGAGTGAAGTAGCAGACGGGTCAGAAGTAGAAACACTGAAGTGTTTTGTTTTGTAGTAAGATTATTTGGCATTTTTATTTTCAAACATGATTATTTTTATTGTAACTGTCACCAAAAGATCTTTATAAGACACTAATTATTCATGATACTGCTTATATATCTGCCTGCTCTCTATGTGCTTACATTTTATAGCATATGTATTCTTGAATTCATATATATATCAAGCAGTAAATAAAACATAAAAAGGTGAAACATTTCATATTAGAATGGCAAACAAAGGTAGGCTCCTAAATTAGAAAACAATAATCCATTCAGCAAACATATTTTGAGTGTCTCTTATGCATAGCAATGTGCTAGACACTAGAGAGTTCAAGAAAAATAGAGGACTGTGAAGCTGTCAAATCTGGCTTCCATGATCTTCCTAGAATACTGACTTCCCTTTCCCTTCTACCTTCCAAGTCTCTTATGAGTACCTCTCATTGGCAAACTAACCCAGACCTCATAGGGAAAAGATCCTGGGCTTCTTTGTATTGCCGATGTAGGCTCTGGAGGTGACAACACAGAACGTCAGGCCTCGCACAAGCATCAAATGAACTGAGGTTACAAAAAGAAAAGAAGATTGTTCCTGGAGGGAATAGAGTATGCATAAGCATGGAGGTATAGGACTTTATAATTTATTCAGGAAAATTCAAGAATCCAATATGTCTACAGCATTAGTTGCAGGGTAGAAAAATGATTAAAGAAATGAAAGACTTTAAAAAGTAATACAAAATTGAGAGAAAACTACTGAAAGGTTTTGAATGTGGCTGCAATATAATTAGAATTATCTTTTATTAAGATAACTTGACACTGGTCAAGGGTGGATTGATTAGAGGAAAACAAATCTAGATACATTTAGAAGACTATGTCGAAAATTTTAAGGGCCTGTACCAATGTGTTTGCAACAGGAATGGAGAGAAGTCTGTGGGTTCAAAATAACTTTTTAAGGGTTGCAAATATAGGCAGTGGCCTCCAGGAAGTTCTCCTGGTCCCTGGCTTGGGTGTCTGAGAGCACAGTAGAACTATTAGCTAGAACGCAGAAAACACAACACCTTGAGAGAAAAGTGAGTTAAATTGTGGAAAATGACTCAGATAAAGTCAGAAAAGCCTCACCCAGAAGATTTATGCTTCTAAGAACTTGGTAATATGTTTTCTTTTGTATTACAGTGTGATTTAGAAGGAATCATGCCGAATGTTACCATCAGCTTGAGTCTCCCCACCAATGGATCTCCACTTCAGGATATTCTAGTTCATCCTTGTGTGACTTCTCTTGACTCTGCCATTCTGACTTCTAGCAGCATTGATGCAATGGATGATTCTGCATTTAGTGGACCTTACAAATTTCCATTCACTCCACCTTTAGAGTCATTCAACTTATGCTACTACACTTCCCAGGTAAACACCCTTAGAAAACTTGAGACTTTGCAAATCATACATTTGGTCAAAGGAAAACTTTTCCTGAGTTATTTACTAGTCAGTGATTGATGGAGATAAAGTTTCAATTCTTTGACGAGGATGCCTGTTATCTCTGGTGTCTGTAACAGCACCGAATGGTTTTCAGAGTTATGGGATTTTTTTTTTTTTTAATGTTCCCTAATTAGGAATTCATGGTCATAAGAAAGAACTGGGTATGATTTAGTCATGGTTTAAATGATGAACATTTAAAAATACCTCTAATCCTAGGCAACTGTGGGTACAAATGTATAATATTCATAGCTCTTTATTACGTATTGAGTAACTGCTGTGCCAGACATTGTCCTAGGAACTTTACATGTATTTTCTCTAGTACTATATAGACCCTGATATAGGTATTACTTGCCCCATTTTACAGACAAGGAGAGTCTCAGAGAAGTTAAATAGCTTGTACAAGGTCACATAACTGATAAGTAGCAGAGCTTAGATTTGAACCCAACATCTTTTCTTCTATACCATTTGTTTCTTGTAATTGTGAATCTGTAGTTTAGAAAAACCTACTCAAGCTAGCAGAGGTAAATTTATTTTGAGAATACAAGAGGCAATCTCATTGTTATTCAAGGATAAGAAGTAGAAGACCCAGGCCATACTGGGGCTAGAATCAGAAAATTAGAATTAAAATCACTGTGTACTCAAGGTCTATGCTGTCTGCCTCATCTCTGCTTCTCAGTCTCCTCTTCCAACTGGCTTTCTCTGCTTGCATATGTTCTCCAGCTCTAGGATGTATACTGTAAAATAGTATACCTATTTCTTACTTCATATGTACCAGAAATAGTGATTGGCTTATTTCATCCTACAGATTGTCTCCCTTTCAGTCAATTACTGATAACCAATTTAGTAACCTATTGCTGAGCGGATGAGTAGGGGATAATCACAATATTCAAATGGGGCAGCAGGAACTATGGGCAGGGTGTTAGTGTATGTCCTATATTGCAGGTCATACAGAGTCCAGAGGAGGGAAAGAAGGGAACCTAGATGAACAAGAATAGGAAAAAGAATGTAAGAATGTACTGCACACCTTAGTAAGGCACCTTTCTCATCTCTGAAAACAAAGAGATAGGAGCATCTGTGCACTTACAATAAATGTAACTCCATCATCTATTCAAACAACTCCCCATTAGTCATTACAGACATATCTGTATATAATGAGTATATTACTGCAAGACTTTTTTTCTCAAATCACCATTGATATTTTAGATCTATTAACCTTAGAATTATATAAAAGTTTGTTTGTGTTTGTTGCCAGGTTCCTGTCCCACCAATTTTGGGCTTTTATCAAATGAAAGAGGAAGGAATACAACTAAAAATAACAGCTAATTTAAAACTTCATGAAAGTGTGAAAAACAATTTTGAATTCTGTGAAGCTCATATACCATTTTTCAATAGGTAGGAATAAATAATATGATGCCATGATTTCTGCCTTCCTTAGTACATTTTCACTGCCCTACCATAAATTACCTGTCTTTGTTTTTCTACCTTATTTTTAAGATTCTTTATGTCTTTCAAATGAATGCTGATTCTGAACAAAGGTAAAGAGATTATTTTTATGACCAAAAGTCATAAAAACAATCACTTTACCTTTAAATGTGTCTTTATTTTTTGGTTAAACTTGCTAGTAAATGTAAACTTAACATCAGTTTAGCTTTCTCAAAGATTATTTCACTCCTGGTTTTATTTCTAGCAATTTCTCTGTACTCTACATACAAGTCAAGCCCAACTATCAGATATCCGGTGAATTAAGTCAATTGTATCATAAGATTACAGTTGAACCTTGAACAATCAAGTGTTGGGCCACCGACCCCTGTGCAGTGGAAAACTCCACATATAACTTTTGACCTTCAAAAATTTAACTGCAGTTTCCCCTCCATACCTGCAGATCCCAACCATGGATTTAAAAGGTTGACTGAACAACACAGGTTGAACTGTGTAGGAAACCTGTGTTGTTTGAGTATCAACTGTACTTCCTCATAATTCTACTCTTAAACTTGTTCTACAGCATAGTTCTTTTCAAAGGGTATCTAGTGTAAAGTAAAATCGTAGTTTTAATGTTATGTCAGTCCATATGACTTTATATTGTCTGTATGATTTTTTAGTTGTTTTTAGAATTAATAAAAGAAGTATATATCATCACCAAAAATGTTCATTGTCTTTCTGGTGGTTTTTTGAGATGTAGTATTATATTTGTTCTACTCTGTTCTGCAAACTTGAATATATAGATGCTTTTATCTTTTCTTGTGTTAAGTAACAGTAGCAAGATTTGACTTAGAGATCTTAAAATTGTTGTATCTGGGATCTTTTTTTTAATATTGTTTCCTTTTTTAAAGAGGCCCAATCACACATGTGGAATACAAAGTTAGTTTCGGCCAGCTCGAAGTAGTTCGAGAGAAAAGCTTATTGATCTGGATTATTGGTGAGTCAAGTTTTGTTTATTGATTATTTTTCATTCACTTGCTATAGATTCTACTTGATTTAGGATATTTGATTAGTGTATTTTTGTTTTTAGGACAGAAATTCCCAAAATCAATGGAAATTAGTCTTTCTGGAACTGTAACTTTTGGATCCAAGAACCACGAGAAGCAGCCGTTTGACCATATTTGCATTGGAGGTACAGCATATTTAAAGGTAAATACATTTTTATGGCTCACTATATTAGAAACCTTTCCTTTGTTTCTAAATTGCCTATATCTAATTGATTTTTAATGTTTTCTAGCCACCACTTTTTAAATTCTGCTTGTATTTTTTTATTTTTGTGAGATTCTTTTTGTTTAGTATTAGTCAATTTCTACTATTTCACTTAATACTTTAAAACTTTTAAGGTGAAACAGGTATGACCTAAACACCTCAACTCAATCTAGTTCTGCCCAGCTATAATTATCACTTTTGAGATTTGTATACCAAAAATGTAAGATGTGGTCCTTTTCCTGTAAGGATTTTTTTTCAATGATCCATGTCAATAATTGATCAATGCTAACTGCCTTTTGGTGTTTCAAGAAAAGAGCGAGCAGTTCTGACTAAAGTGGTCAAGGAAAGCATTACAGTAAATACGGAATTTAAACAAAACTCTGAGTCCCAGCTAAGCATGAATATGAAACCATGAAGACTGACTAGCATTTGTATAAAGAGATAACTTGATCACAAGAATGAAGTATAGCAAGGCATGCTTAGGAACCAGTGCCAGGAACAATAGTAACACATAAGGCTGGATAAGATTTAGATCTGGATTATAGAGGGTTTGAATCTGACTTCCATTCCTTTGTTAGAAAATATTACAATTTTTTTGAGAGGGGAATGTTCTTTCAGAAACTAATACGTCATAATACTTTATGAAGATTAATCAAAATGTGTGTGAGGAAGGCAAGAGAAAAAAATAACTAAACAAAGAAACTTTTTTAGCTCAATTAGTACTCTTGATGAAAGGTAATAAATTTATCATGCTGAGCTCCTATAGTGTCACAGAAAGAGAAAGGAAGAGAATAAAAGGAAGAGACTGCTATAAGAGTTGTAATAAAGGTAAAGCCTTGGTCACTAATTAGGTATAGAGATAAATAGTTTTAAGTCAAAGATGGTATTATTTAAAACAGGGGTCCCCAACCCCTGGGCTGCAAATCAGTAGCACCCCCACCCTCCCACCTGGTAACAGGTACCAGTCCATGGAAAAACTGGTACCTGGTGCCAAAAGGTTTGGGGCTGCAAATTTAAAAAAGTATGAAACTAACCCTGGCTGGTGTGGCTGAGTGGATTGAGAGCCTGTCTGTGAACCAAAGGGCCGCAGGTTAGATCCCCAGTCTAGGGCACGTGCCTGGGTTGCAGTCCAGGTCCCCAGTAGGGGGCACGTGAGAGACAATCGCACATTGCTGTTTCTCTCCCTCTCCCCCTTCTCTCTAAAATTAAATAAATAAAATCTTTTTTTAAAAAAAAGAAAAATGCTTGCTACATTTTTAAATAAACAAACAAAAAGTATGTAGCTTAAACCAGACTTGAAGCTCCAAGACAACAGAGACCATGCAGGTCTCATTCATTTGTTTTACTGCCAACATCTAGTCCAGTACATGCCACATAAATACTTGATGAATGGATTAATAACGTACTTAGAAGATAATACTGATACGGAGAAAGTTGAGAGGGAATGGGTTTCATATCATGTATGTTGCTGTTGATAGCAACATATCCCAGTGTAAGAGTCTAGTAGGTAGCTAAAAACTTGGAACTTGATTCTCAAAAGAGAGCTCAGCTGTATATAGGATTTAGGAGCTGTCTGTGGATAAGAAATACTGTAGTCAGGTTCAGTAGAAATAAGATTAGAAAAAGATAAAATAAGGAGGAACCTGAAGAGGTGATCAAAAAGGTAGCAGAAAAACCTAAATAGAATGGTATCAAAGAAGAGAGATTGAAATCTATACATAAAAGCATTAGGGGAAATGGTGAAGTCAGAAGTACGCTTGTGATATTTTTTCTGTCTTGGTTTCAACTATGTCTACAAGCTTTGCTTCAAGCATTATTTAAAAAATTCTGGTTTCCGGATATTTTTCAGAAAAAAATGTGGGATGTTACTAAACTGTATGTCTTTCAAAGGTAGGGATTATGACTTTTCTATTCATTTCCATCACCTAACCACTTACAGTTTAGTCAAAAGTATGTACTGTGTTCATAAAAGTATGTATGTATCTGTGTTCACTGAATAGATTTATATAATATCTCATTTTGTAGAAATCGACCTTGTCATAACTTTCAGCATCTAGAATTATACTAAACAAGCAAGAAAAAAGCCCTTTACTATTGAGATGATTTGAGAAAAAATGTCAAAGTTCTGAAAATTACATTCTATGCAAGTGATAGTTTGGTAATCAAAAGGAGAAATTTGCAGAGAAAGGAGATGGGAGAAAAAAACTATAGAAAAAGATACCAGGATATTGCAAAATCAGGTGCTTTTAGCAGCAAAGATAAAGAGAACCACAGCAAAAGGAGACAGGAGCCATGTAAGTTATAGAACTTTCATAGTTAATGTGACTATCATTGTGACTAAGGCACCCAGCACTGCTTTCAGAGAAGGTACTAAGGCCCTTTCTATTATAGAACAACATAATAATTGACATTTATACTGATGATGCCACATTATCAATTAAATCTAGGAACTATGGATTACATTTTAGAAAGGTTTTGTAAGTAAAAGAAAAAGCTATTTCTAAGCTTAGTGATATAAAAGTTAAATTTCAGTTTTCTGGAAAATTAAGTAGAGCATCTCATTTAAACACCAGAATAAACTGGTGTTTCTCTTTTAGTAATTGCGTTCTTGTGTTTTGGTAGAATATGTATATGTTTCTGCCTGTAGAAGAATTATGATCCAAATATACCACATAGCCTTTAGAGAGAGAAAAAAAATACACGGAACATCAGACACCATAGGGGAAGGAGCACCAGCTTTTGTAGTCAGTCAGGTCTGAGTTCAAATGCCAGCTCTGAGCTTCAGTTCCCTCGTCTGTACAATAGGGATACCTTGCAGGATTAGAGTTCACATTAGTGAAGTAGTGCCTGATATGTGTGACGGACTTCATAATGCCAGCCTTGCAAAGAAATGGCCCTCATACAAAAGGGAAACAGTGTGCGTATATTTGTACACATGCACACACACAATAATCAGGTTTAATATTCTGTGATTTTAAGTTTGTGAACTGTGTGAAGTAAACTAAAATTGTGTGAAGGGAAAAAAAAATGTGATCATTATGTCTACCAAAGAATCACCTTAATTTTGAATACATTTCTCTTTTTCTAGCTTCGTTTTAGGATCTTAGATTACACACTTACTGGGTGTTATGCAGATCAGCATTCTGTTCAAGTTTTTGCATCAGGAAAACCAAAAATAAGTACATGTAAGTTGTAGATTCATACTACCTTGAAGGATTAAAATGGTGTTATGCAGTTATTACCTAAGGTAAAATCAAAATGTAACAGAAAGAGATCAGAGAGTAATCCCAATTTATAAAAATTTTGGTTTGATTATATTCCATGTAACACTTGGTGTACTTTCCATTTCCCTCTGCCACCTTCTGTTTATAAAATTGTCTGGATGAGCAAGGATCGACATAGAGTTGAGCTTTAGTATAAAGTTGGATTTATTTTGCTCCATTTGTAATATACACTTTTATTTAGGGGTTGCTCACGGGGGCTTTGGTGTTGAACAGACAAGAGGTTTAAGTCTAGCTTAGTTTGTTATCTGTGTGATTTTAGGCAAGTTAATGAACTTAAAGTTTTAGTTGCCTCATCTGTAAAATGGAAGTAATAGTATTGTTTAATTTAGGATTGTCATTAGATTTAAATAAAATTATATTGGCCAGGCACTTAGCATGATGCTTCTGACATATAGCATGGATTCAATAAATGCTACATATGATTATTTAAAATTTTAACTATTTCTAGCAAATGTAGTCTGTGAACATTATTTAGTACCTTCTTTATTTTACAAATAGGAAAGCAATAGAAAGAAGGTTTCCTACCTTTGATGAATTTCTTGGTTGTAATAAAATATGTATATAGTCTATATGAAAATTTAGGGAGACAAAAAGTAATTTGTAAATGAATTCAAAATTATTTAATTCAGATCAAATACACATATGTGACATCAAACAGAAAAGTAGGTAGAATGAGGTAGAGTAAGCTAAATGTAAGCAGAAATTGTTTGCCTCATATATTAAAGAGAATAAAACAATTGTGTTAAGTAAGTTTCTTTAAGCTAAGGATTAGAGTCCTTAAATAGGAAAGATAGGGCAGGACTTCTTAAATTTTCAAAAGAATTATGGAACTCAGACCTACAATATTCTAAACAATTACTTGTGAAGGGCAGTAATAAATTTTATGTAATTCTACGTCATAGATTCTTTACCTCCCTAAGATTTTTCCTATTCTCTCCTATACCGTATTGTTTTTGGTTGTCTTTTAAAGACATGCATGTATATGGAATAGTCTTCATAATGCATTTTGTGTGTGTGTGAAGACATAATATAGTTATGTCAGTTTGGATAAACAAGTGGTTTTGTCTAAATTCAAACACCAATTTTTTAGATTATATCTGAGGTACTCAATGCAAAATGTTAATTTAAATAATCATGGCTAACATTTATTGTTTACTGTATGCCAGGAATAGTTCTAAATATTTTATATGTGTTATATGTGTATATCTTTACAACATCCTATTAATGTTATCTCCATTTTACAGATGAGGATGCTGACAGAACAGAGAGATTAGGGTCACATAATTAGTAAATGGCAGAACTGGGAATCAAACCCAGGTAGTCTGGCTTGGACTCTTGCTGCTTAACCAATATGCTATGTTGACTCTCAGTGTTACTGAGTTCCCAAACTTGGGGGGTTGGGGGGAATGGTGGCAGAGATAAGGTAATATGTCCTAGCTATCCTACCTGTATTCTTTCATTATGAAGAAGGGCATGAAAAAGAGAAGTAAAAAAAGGCAGAATTGGATATTTAGTGATGCATATGATAATAAGAATTTACATATGTCTAGCTCAAATTTGCATTATCTTAATTTTGTATATCAGAAAACTTTAGTGCAAAGAGGGTTGTCATTTGTCCAAAGCTACAAAACTATTAAAGCAAGAAGTTTGAATTAGATCAAAACAATAAAAAGCCATTGAAGCAGTCTTTTTAAAACATTATTAGAAGGTTGGTATTTATTTATATCTCTGAAACTTTGAATGAGTAGAGAATAATTGCAAGATCAGAATCAGAACCTTGGTAAAAAGGTTACAAAAAAAAGGAAGCCAATGAAAAAATGTTTTAATGTTTTAGTTCTTGAAGTAATGGTCCATAAGAAACAGAAGTTAGGGAAAATGTGAGGGAGGAAAATGGCAGTTTTGGCACAAATGAGGCATATTGGAATAAATTTGTCATAAATAAGCTTAAAAGTGGATTATTTAAATATTTTAATGAACTCATATTTTTAAAGTGGTATGAGTTGTAAGTATGCCTTGATAAAATCAAATGAATATTTCAAAGTATTGCCTTCCTTGAAATAATTGTGTTCCACAATTTTACAATATCAGTCTCTTATTCAATTTTTGTTAATATGTCTTATCATTTCTTTCTTTTATTTTTTCAGACCGGAAACTAATTTCTTCTGACTATTACATATGGAATTCTAAAGCCCCTGCTCCAATAACATATGGATCATTATTACTATAATTATCTTATGCCTAAATGGGATTTATGCAATAGTAACATAGCCTACATTAAATAATAGTCTTTAATTTTAATGTATATGTATATAACCTGTGAGAAATCATTGAATGATTTAATTATTAAAAATGCTCATTTGATGTTTTTAGTCTGACATAGTTTGAAAAAAAATTTTAAAGATTAATGTCTCCAATTTTGTTTCCCTTTGATTTTACTCAATATGATTCAGAGCATAAACCAGCAGGGATTCACCTCAGGCTTATTTTAGACTGGTCCTGGGTCAGCCTGCCACGTGTTCCTTCCTGCACCTGTGGCAGACATGGCTAATCAATCACAGCCCCCTCTCTCCACTGAGATTTCTAGATACAGGCTCAGGCTCAGGCTCCTCCTCAGTGCAGAGCTGCAGGCAGCTACTCCTGATGGATTATAGATGATACGCAAGATAAAAAAATTATTTGCTCTTCCAGACCTGAATACTAATCTCCTAGTACATTGTGTTGGTACAAAATACCAGAGACCATATTAGAAACAACGGTAAATCTCTTGAAAAAACAGCCAATGAAAACAAAGGAAATTTGTCTAAATAGTAACCTGTTCTTAAACAGAACTATCTAATTGACTTATAAAGAATCGGCATAATTCTATTTAAGGTATTTATCTCTGTTCTAGAGTTACTTTTCAAGTAAGCTTATCAATCTGCCACAGTAACAATTTGCTTAGGGTGTCAGTAAGAGTAGTAAGAGGGATGGTATATCTTCAGAAGATGAACATAGTGTTTTGTGATCACTTAATGTGAGCGGCCAATTTTTCAAGATAAATTTAGTGTAATAGTGCTTTTTTCATGTTTTATTATTATTAAATTCACTAATGAATGAATTTAGGTAAAGAGTCATGTAGCATATTTTCTTTAAATTTGTCATTCTTACTCTCTTATTAGCATTCTCTTGTATTCCTCAGGATCTAGTCATACTCTTTATTCTTTTTACCTGTCTTGACAATTATGTCTTATTCTTTTTCCAAAGTAGTTCATTGTCAAGTTGGACTTTAAGTGACCATTCAAGAAAAGATGAAATCTGAAGATCCTCAAAACTCGTTTATTTTTACAGAACAGAATTAGAAATGTTAATAAAAAAATATACATTACAGATTAGTATTCAATTAAATTATATCTTGGTTTCTATTTTTCAATGAACCTCCAATGGAAAAACTTAGAAAAAGCTCCAAAGACCTTGAAAGAGAGTTTGAAGGAATATTGTATATAAATTGAAGATTTGAAATATGATTTTTAAATTAAAGTCAATCCTACTCATTATAAACTTTTATTTTCTACAAGGCATTATCATGACATAATGTTCTCCATTCAAAATTATCCCAAGTAACAAAAGAAATAGAATAACTGCCTGACCAGGACTTTAACTTATTATTCTAGCTTAATCATAGATAATCAGTAGTAAAAACCTTTCTTTTGAAAGAATAAAAAAATTATTACCCTTAAGTTATTTGATCTCTCTTAAACTCAATGAAAGCTTAACATTTAGCTTACGTTAATATTAATGGAGGCATATATCTAGTGAGTAGGCAGAGATTTGGTATAATAATTCCCTAGGGAAATCTTTCTTTATAAGCAATCAGCAAAACCTTTGATTTGACATTTCTAGAAACCTGAGGAAAATCTAGGGAGTATGGAAAGGAGTATGGGCATGGGCAACCCGATGCCAACTGTTGCCATTCCGCCATAACATTACATTGCAGAACTAAAGCCAGCCCATGTTTTCATCCTGTTAAGATCAGCTGGGCACATTGCGATGCTTTTGATTTTGTCTAGAAACCTGTCAGTTCAGGATAGTTTTCTAAAGACAAAGTCTGTTTCCCGTTTGGTAGGTGACCTGTTTAATGTTTTCCCTGTGTCTGGGAACTCCTTAGTGTAATTAGTGACCTTTGAACTCCACAACTAATCCTGAGCTATTTTGTATTCCTTACTCATCTTTAAGGCTGGACCTTTCTTTTCTTGAGAGTCCGCTGCCACAATTAAAGAAGAAACAGCTGCATTTCAAAGGGATTCCGATTCCAGAAGCTTAATCGTGATTGACATGCTCTTATTCTAAGCTATAAGACACTCTAAGAGTCCTTTCTTGGGTTGAAACTTCAATCATTTTCTAAAAAATTATCTCACTGTGGATTTTATTCATTTTCTTTGATAACTATTCTTTGCATTTTTTAACTTGAAAGATGCTTTGTATTTGCAGTAAATATGAGCACCTACTTCCACAGATTTGGATGATGTCACACCTACTCTAGATGGAAAATTGCTAAATTCCCTTTTAGTGCCAAAATATGATTATGAAATATGTCTATCATATAGGTAATTATTCTTCAGTGGACCAAAATGTACAAAAATGTGTTACATTTCTGAAAAAGTGCCGCAGAAAAGATGGTTCATGATTGTGATAAAACCCTTCTTTTCTAAACTATTTTTAAAACTTTAAAGCCAGCAATACCTTTACAATGGTGGGCATCTTTTTTAAATAGTTGATTAAAATACCAGGTTTGAAGTAAATAGCCATGTCAGGAGTTCTTAAGAGAATTTTTTGTTTAAAAATATTTTCTTGATTAAACATTAGTCTGACAAAATTTAAGTTTTTTAACACCAACTAAATATGAGTTAAATTATTGTGAGCTTATATATTGTATGAAAGCACAATTTTATACATATTAACAACGACTCGTATTTTTATTATAGTATTTCAGACCACTTCATAGACATGCGTAGACAGACTCCTGCACCACCCCTGGGAGGTAGGTAGGTTGAGCTTTCACCCAGAGCCTCTGCAGGGACCGCTGCCACGGCCGAACAGTTGTTTCTAAGACAAAGGTCAGAAAAGGGATGTTAATAAACAGTCCTCAGGTTTAAGGGACTTTTTTAGGATTACATCTTAAATTCCAACAAATCAGATTTAGGAGTTACTGAAAGTGAAATTGATCCATCCCTCATCCAAACTTTGCAATACTTTCCTGTTCTGACATCATTTAGATAGTTAGCTGTATTATCAGATTAGAAACCATTGTACCACGCTGCTGAAAGGAAAAGGAGGCAAAAAGCTAAACATAGGATGAATTCTGAACCTTTTAACCTGGCTGAAGTGCGTTGGTCCCTGTTATGCAAATACCTTCAATCCTCTGCTAAGTTCAGTGGAAATAATTTTCTTGAATGACAGGTTTATTCAGCAAGGATTCAGTTGGTGATTAATCCCCCTTTGATCTAGGGTATTTCACTTAACTACCAGTTACCTCGTTCTGACAAAGTGCAACTGAGATTAGGGAGATCACTAGAACACTACCAGGGTGTGCATTTATTCTCTCTAACCTTTAAAGCAAGGGCCAAGAATGCAATTTATTTTCAGTATTTGAAGATGTAAAGTCCTGTCTGCTAAGTTAGAAAGTCAATTGAATACCAAATGAAGTTTATTTCTTACGTAATAGAACAAACATTTCTTTTTGCTTTGCCTAACTGATTTTAGGAAAAATAGGCTTTGAAGAAAGAAGAAACAAAGACTACATTTTAAGTATATTTTCTGGTTTTGTTGCATGTACTGGAGTGTATACTTATTGGCCCCAAGATAAGCCAAAAATAAAAGAAGCAGCTACAATTTAGGTTGAGAAAAATGCTTCTGTTTTACTAAACTGCATGATTTCTTCCCACTCTCCTCCCATTAAAAAATGTCATGCTATGTGGTAAATCCAATTCGGGAAAACATGTAGTACTCGATTACTTATCTTAAGACTTCTGATTTCAAAGCTTTATTTGTTAACTTAGTTCTTTTTTGAGGAAAACAATTTATGTTGCCAACTTAAGAATAATTGCATTCATTTTCAGAATGAAAATTTTTGTTCATAAAGATAAATGATGTCATTACAGAAATACTTCTAAGAATTATCAAAATAACAATTTCCCACAGTACTGTTTACCTTTCTGCTTCCTTTTAACTGTGTACCTCTTCCATAACTTTAAAACTTTGAAATACTCTATGGAACTTAGCACGATATTTTAAGAATAAAATTTTAATATGTGTCTCATGCTAGGGCTTCTCAAAATACTCGTGTTTAAAAATACCAATGTCAATATCTTGCAAGATACCAAATTTGGGAATCCATTCCTCCGTATTTCAAGACCCTTAAAAAAGAAGCAATGATTTTTAACAAAATTTATTCTTACGTATTAGATTATTATTAGTGATTAATTTTATTACAAAGTATTTTAGAATCTTCATAATTGTCCGTTATTCTAGTAGCAGTTTGTAATACAAGATATGTATTTAAATAATTTTCTTACACATTTTTTTGGCTCAGGGTCTTCATGATGCAATTTCTAAATTGAAACAATTACTCAAAGAAGTAGGTTTCTAACTTACTTTGGTACCAGCCTCCAGTTTCATTTTAGTAACCAAACTGTTTCCAAATATCTTTTGATAGTAAGTTACTTAATCACAGAAATTGAGGATCAAAATAGTAAGATGAAAGGCAGGATCCCCTGACTATGTTGCTAAGATACTAGTGTTTTTAATACTTCACTGTGCAGTAAATATTTAGTTAATAAAATGTTGCAATATATTTTTATGCCATCAAAGAATCTATGAAAAAGTACATATATGTATATGTAATATATGTAATACATATGTTAGTGTTTTAAAATAAAAATGGCCAAAGAACTCATGAAATCACTCTCACAAATTGATTAAAACTCTTGCAAACTGAAGGCTTTTCCACTAGCTTCTAATTTTTTTTCATCAGCCATTTTATGGTTATGATAATATTGTCCATATATAGCCTGGATCAGTGCAAGGCCTTACCTGTATTACTAGTTTACTGCCTTACAAGCAGGTTACTCTTAGGTCCATGTTGATTTCTCTAAGGCCCTGGCTAACCTGCATAATTGTTGGCAATGTGGTGGTAACAGGTGATGCACAGCATTTGCAGATTGACATGCTCTGGGATAGAAACCACCTGCTGAATTGGTTGTCCAATAGAACGTGCGAAAATTTGTGTTTTAATAATCTATTAAACATTTAAAGTCAATGTGTATGTTTCCTTTAAATGTATTTTAAATAGTTTTGTTTAAAAAATGGCTTAACACTTTTAATAAAAATAAAGTAGTTATTCCTCTTAAAATTTTTACTTTTTCTTTCAAGGGACTAGAGTGCCCTCTGCAGGTTATAAAGAGATAATTTATGGCTATATTTACTTTGAAACCCTGTGATTTTTCCCTTTAGAAGCGTAACAGTATAATGTGACCTATTTTATTTAAATTGTTACCTTTGTCAATTTTCCAGTGACTGAAGGAAGAGTTTCTTTTCCTGGCCTGTTTTAGAGTTGTGTTTCATGTGAAGAATGTAATACCATTGAATTTTCCAAATCACTTAGGTAGGGCTCTTTGAATGTTGAAACTATATACAATGGAACTAATGCAAGGTCCCTAACAGAAAGAAGATTGGGAAAATGTACCTATTTTGAAATTTATTAAAGCTGTGGAGAATAACTTGATTATTCCACATTATATTTTTAGGATATTAATACACTTAAAATAAGCCTTACTTTTTCAATATGCGTCATGTAAAATTTTTAAATTGCATGTTCTATTTTTGATTTTGTTGGTGAGTGATAATTGTGTTCAGGCCAAAAACAAACAAGCCTCTTAGAATTTCTTTATTTAAAAAAATTAGGATTGAACCGATAGTGCTCTGGCATGATTATTGCATAGGTCTACTGACCAAAAGAGTATTTCTGTTTGAAGAACAAAGGGCGAAGATTTCACATCGGAGTCACTCATTTCTGTACCCATCTTTCTCAATGGGTACAGCAGATCCATTCCTAAAGGATAGAGGAGTTCATTATATATATAAAATTATAGAACTTGAGCCCTGGTGGCATTTCTGATTCACTCAAAGCTGCCAGGGGAACTAAATATGATGAGAACAAGAGGAATGATTGGATCAGATTAATGGAAATAGATCTGTTTGCAAGCAACATAGTGATCCTGATCATCAACCTTGAAAAGTAAATTAGAACAAGTAAATTGCTGTTGAAAAATTCTTTCAGCACTCTGCTGTTGCTACTCAGCTAGTCCCAGCTCAGCCAGAGGCAAGAAAAAAAATGCACTCAGTTTTGCATTAACAAAGGAAACATTATTAAAGTGAATGTTTACATTGTGTTTATTGAAGTGTTCAAAGAATATTTGTTGCATCTTCAACCTGCCTTTCTACCTACTATAATAGTGCATGAGTAATAATAAAAAGTTATTTGTATGTTTAGAAAAATGACATTTAACTTAAGTGTTCATGAACTATCTTCAAAATATTTAAGTACCAAACTTTATACTTTCTCTTTTCAAGATTTCTGTCTCCAGGAAATGTATCCCATTAAAAAAACAAAACAAAAAAAGCACCTTATTTGCCTGAATCTAACTTCCAATTATTTTCACACCTGATCTTAGCCAAAAGGCCAAGAAGTGATTCCAATTATTAACAAATGCTTTATGTAACTTTCCTCCCTGAAATGGCAATGCATAAGAAATAATAAGCTGAAAATCAAACAAAAAATAAAAACAATTTTGAAATTACTGAAGTATGTAACTGAATATATAATATGTTCATTAGAGAAATAGCTTGAGAATTGAGAGAGCTTTTGTGAGCAATTATCTTGAGCTTTATAAAAACTAAATTGAGAATAGAAAAGACAGCAATTGAAAACAGGCATGCCAATCTGACATTTAAAAATAAGTATTCACTAGTAAAATAGGGGGGAAGTTCATTAAAAATTCAGAAAAAATTTAAGCTTACACCTGTCTAAGATGAACAGTTTAATTCACATATATATTAGAATTAAGAGACAATCTAACAGGGATTAAAATACCATATTTTACTTGGTCTCTTAGCAGGTGTTTATTGAATACAATTCAATATTCTTTCATTTCTTAAGTACTAACTTTGAACTGTTTGATTCACCAACAGTAAAATTGTCACTCTTCCATGTTTCAGCCTAAAAATCTGATCTGTTACAGCAAAGATTATTAGCCCATGCTATGTATAGGTTCTTGAGGAGAAACTTAGCCAGATACTTTATTATTTACCCTTTCTATCATATATTTACAGAGTATCATATTAAAATCTAGAAGGAATTTATAAAAATTATTTAAAAGCTATGAGTTTCTGTGTATCAGTTTTTTAAGGAACTTTAATCTTTGTCCATAATCTAAAAAAATTTTTTTGCATCTAAAAGCAAATAGCAAGCCACTAACTCTCCTTTTGCTAAGTAACCAGAAGTTATTAGTGATGCTTATGGCTTATTGACTAATAGTACCAAGAGAACTGTTTTAATTATTGTGAATATCAGTGGCTTCCTGCCCATAATATGTATTTCCCTTATATATGGTAAAATGGCACATGCCATTTTATTTCATTTTAAAGTCCTAAACACAAACATAAGGTATGGCTTGGGATTAAAAACTGCTTGAATAATCTAGCTGAAATGGAAGCCTTAATTTGGTTAATAAAAACTCATAAATAATGTTCAACCTTTATTGTGCTCCTATTATATGCCACTCCAGAACTAGACAGAGACAAAAAAAAAAAATAGTACCTGATTTTAAATGGTTTGACTCCTGAAATTATTAGCATTGTAATATGGGAGACTTATTGTAGACGTTATTAATTAGAAATTGTCCAAATAAGTGACGGTTGACGTTCACCAGGCAGACAATGGAAAGAAGGGTATCCTAGGGGCAACACCCTAACATCCTATGTCCGTAGGTCTGACAAGCAGAATCCCAGAAACCTGAACATCTTTTATGGTAAGAATAAGCATCCAATATTTTTTTCTTCCAAATGTTTGAGATTTGGGTATTTAAATATATATAAATTTCTAAGGAAAGTAATTACCATATTTAATTTCCAGCCTAATATACACAGAAATATGAAGGCACTCCTATATACTAAATGTACACTCCACCACTGTCTCCCACTTTGCTCCTAATTTTGAATGCATGTCCACATATCCTAGTATGAGATTTGCCTCTGTTACCAGTGAAGAAAATATGCATAAATAGAATTATGGGAAAACTATGTATGACAAGTGAACTATTACATAATCTGTTAATATGTTAATATATATTATACTTAGTCAATAAGCTAAATTTTTGTTTAGGATAGTTCACATATGTTAGAACTTCTCCCTTGGAACACATCCTTAACCTCGAATCAGTTGAATATAGATACAGATACGTGTATGTATAAAACAAGGAAAATGCAAATATGTGTGTATTTACAAATCTTTCCTCCACCTTTCACGCCAATATTTTGAACTTCTTGAAGACAACATTCACCTGTGCATCGTTGTATTCTCAGTGCCACCAGAAACTAAAGAAGCTTAATCTTGATTCAATAAAGAAGCTTAAAGTAGCAAAATGTTAAATATGTAATAAAGTGGGTTGTTTTCCCACTCAAAAGAAATCAATGTTTGAATAATTGTTTTTGCACATGTGCATAAAAAGTCAATTCTGCAAACAGTAGTTCAGTCCACACGAAGCACAGGTGGTTTCTGCCCTGCGACTGCCACCTCTGGCACTATTCAGAGAACATGGAACTGTGACACTGCTCTCAGACACGCTGTGCAGAGCTGTGGCTCCACCTGTTAGACTAGCAGCAGCCGAGGCCTGCAGTTGCTCTCCATCACAGGCCACATTCTTTGCCGT